AGTGCCCACGGGGACTCGCCAAAGCAAACCAAGCTGTGCTGGCTCTGCCTCCCTGTGATAGGGGGTGGAGGGGGGGGGGTGTCTGGCCCGGGGGAACGGGAGGAACCGGGTGGCGGATTTGTGTTTCCACTTGATTTCCTCGGTTGTTTTCCAAACGTGGTAGCGGTATCCTGAGGGGCGGGGTGGAGGCGGAGAAGCCACCGGAAGGCGCCATAGCCCCACTGCTGCCTGCCCCCATGTGACTTGGCTGACGACAGTACTGCGTGGAAAGGCCTAGAGGCTTCCGTCCCGGGCTGCTGGACAAGTGGGTGGCGTTGACCAAGGCACTGGGCCCACACGGGCCGCGCCCCGCGTGATCCATTGTCTCCAAGCAGGCTGCCCCACTTGCGTCGACCCTTTGATCCTGTGAGTTAAGAGTGGTCCTGGTGGTGGCTGACTCCCAGTCTCAGAGTCATCCTTGGGACCAGGTCCCTTAACTGGCCTTGGGCGTACATAGCTGCCTCTGTCTCCCTAGCTTCCTCTTCCTGCTCCAGCTCCCCCTAAGCTCTTTCCTACTGCCTGTTTGTGGGTCCACCATTCTGGGTCTTGCTACCTGTCCCACCTGGACACCCCCATTCCCACTAGTGTCTTTCTTGCCTTCTAGGGCTCCAGGCTCTGGTCACTGCCACAGCGGTGGCCTTACCTTTTCCACTCACCCCTGCTTCCTCCGAATTCCTCCCTCTCCTCAGGATCTGCTCGGACACTGTCTGGTTGAGGGGTAGTGGACCAATCCCAGCCTTTTTAAGGCTTCCAGCTACTCCTCTGAGCAGTGGGATTGTTCCAGAAGAACCAACGACCCCTACCCCCACCCAGCTGGGTTGGTAGGAGAAGTGCCTGCGGTAGGGTGGGCAGTGGAGGTGGGAAGGGCTCTCTTCTAATCCTAGTTACTGTCCCCAACCTCACAGCAGCTGTCTGCCTGAGGCATTGCTCTGAGACTCAGTTTCTCCTTCTGAAAAATGAGAAAAACAACGGTACTTTTCCTGTGTGATGGAAATCTGGCTTCCTGGAGAGGTCAGGCCTGTCAGTGATTCTGGATAAAACCACAGAAGCTCGTGTATCTCATAGCCCAGGAAGCAGAGGCCATAGGGCTAATGGGAGTTTTAACAAAAATCAAAGCCACACTGAATTATTTGTATACTTATTTATTTACTTATCGAGACAGTGTCTCACCATGTGCCCCTGACTGGCCTGAAATTCCTGTGTAGACCAGGCTGGCCTCAAACTCACAAAGCTCCACCGGGCGGCCTCCACCTCCTGAGCGCTGGCTGGCATTGAAGGTGTGCTCCACCACACCTGGCTGGGTCACTTATTTTTAGTAGGAACTAGGGCTCATTTGTATGAGCATCAGGCTCTGTAACTAAACTGAGGGTAATCATTAATTATTTAAATTATCTTTTGGTAATGCTCCCTACATGCCAGGCCAGGGTTTAACTGAGGAGCCAGTCTCATCCCTGAAGTTTATTATTTTACTGGGCAATCTCCGAGAAAGCCGCCAGAACGGTCTTCGTTCTACAGATGAGAAAAATAAAGACCTGGCGAGATCAGGACTTGGTCAAGGGAGTGTCTCAGTGGAAGAGTTTACACGAGAATGTAGACAGGGGTCTTCTTACCGCGTGGTCCTCTCTGTCATTCTCCTTCTGTCTCTCCATGCACAGCCTGTAGCAGGAGCCCACCTGCTGGATGGCGTTGTGAATTGTGCGCATGCCTGGACCTCTTCTGTTTCTATCTGCAGCCTTCCCTGCACCGGGCTCTTCTCTTGACACCATCCTAAGGGCTTGAAGTGGACAAGGTACAAGGGTGCCAAGTCGTGGGGCTGCCCAAGGGCCCACAGTGTGTCACTGCCCTGCAGCCACCACCTATAGTGTCAGGCCCTCTGACTCACGGCAGGGACCTTGCATCTTGCTGCGAATGCCCAGGCCTGGTCTGATTGCCCCACAGCTGTTCTCAGCAAGCCCAGCCAGTAGACTTGCTGAGTGACGCTGACCTCAGCTGAGTGACCTCTGTCTGCCCTCTGAGGAATGAATTCATAGTCTCTTGCCCCACCTCCCCTCACACACCACCCCTGCTCCCTGCCACCCCTCTCTGAGACAGGGTCTCCCTATGTAGCTCTGGCTGTGCTGGAACTTACATAGACCAGGCTGGCCTCGAACCCGGACGGATCCTCCTGCCTCTGCCTCCCGAGTGCAGGAATGAAGGGCATGTGCCTGATGCCTGACTGAATTCTCTTTTTTAATGGACCACAAATCTGTTGAGTGGCTGTGGCTGTACACACAGACACGGAAAGCTTCAGGAGGCCAGCGGCCAGCCTGACTGAGTGGAAGCCCTGCAGTCAAACTCTGCTTTTGTGGGCCATTTGTAGCAAGGTACCACAGCAAGATGAGACTTGTGGGGGGCTGTCCCTAGAAACAGCCCAAAGGAGAGTCTTCATGCTAGGTAGCCAAGGCATAGGTTGTAGATGAGGTTTGTCCTCTAGAGGTGCTGTTCAGGGGCCTGTCACCCACCCACCTGTGACCAGGGAGTTCACCTTACACACCTAGCAGGAACAGTTCCCACTCTTGGCACTTAGTAGGTATTATGTAAACATTAACTGCAAGAATTGGATGATAGTGGGGCAGCCACCTAAGAAGGAGGGGCCTGTGGAAGTTATCTCCAAAGGTGTAGCAAAGTCCTTTGGGGTCTCCAGCTTCTATGCCTGAGACCCCCTATGACGCCATACCCATGGACAGCCAGGGTCCTTGTCTCAATGCAGCACAGACTACACCAACCCCCCCCATCCCCCACCCCTGCCACTCCAAGCCTTGGTGGACCCCTGACATCAACCCTTTCTTTAGCCTTCACAGCTGGGCTCCTGACCCTCAGTGTTTGACTTCTCCTGCCCCATTGGCCCCTGCCTGCTCCTAAGCTCAGCAACACATTCCCTTTTGGGGCCTTGGCATGTGATCTCTCTGTCTAGAACATTCTTCTACACATCTTCCTTCTTTCATTCGGAATCTTAGTCCGATGTCACACTCTTCTCGTGGTGCCCCCTTCCTCTCTTCCCTCCCCCTTTCCTCTTCCTCCACCACCTTTTTCTTGACAGGGCCTGGCACTTTCTCTGTAGCCCAGGCTGGTCTAGAACTTGAGATTCTCCTAGCGCAGCCTTGGGAGTCCTGGGATCATGGGCATGTGCCATTGCAGCTGCAGCGATTCTGTTTCTCATGGGCCCCTCCCTCCCGGTTCGCCCAGATGTCAGCTCATGGGTTTATTGTCAATCTCCCTCTCGTGAATGTTGACTGCAAGGGCAAAGACAGGCCATTTCTCCATGGCTATAGCCCCTGGGCTGGAACAGCGCTGAGGACACAGCCGAGTTCCATCATTGTTTGAAGAAGTTAGGAAGGAGGAGGGGGGAGGGAGGGAGGAAGGAAATTGAAGGGACAGAGGAAGGCATAAAGGAAAGACTGGGAATGGAGGAGGAAGGTAAAGAGAAAGGGGAGGAGGGGGAGAGGACGCAAAGGCATCTTTTAGTGTCCCCTGCCCTGTTCTAGAAGCCTGAGCACCAAGACTAGTACATAGAAGGTGGGGCAGCAGGGAAAAGCTGGGCTGGGAATAAAGAAATTCAATTAGATTTGAAGAACTTCCTATATGACAAAACAGAGCAAAGATGGGAGGCACTTTGTCAAGGAGAGATAGCTTCCCCGCAGTGGCCTTGGAACTGGGTAGACCAGCCATGGGACCTGAACCCAGAAGATGTCAGGAATCAGGGGGTTCCCCCAGAGGGCAGGTGAGGCCCTGAACTTGAAGGCCTTCCTCATGGCTCATCCGGCCAGGCCTAGGCAGGTAGAAGCCCGTCTATGGCTCGTCCCCAGGCCAGAGGCAGCTGGGATTTGGCCAAGCGGCCATGTTGGGAGTCTGGTTCTGACTACAGGACAGGGCTGGGAGACAGGAAGTCCCACTGCTCTGGACCCCATAGGCCCCTCCAGCTCCTGCCTCTCCCTGCCTCCCACAGTGGCCTCAGGCCCTTGTGCCCGCGCCCATGGGGTTAAATCTCTCCCTGTCTCTCTCTGCTCCAAGTTGTTTTCCAAGCGAGGCAGAGAATGGTTCTCTTGTTACCAACATGGCTTCTGGGCATTGGGTAATGCGCTCCCTCTTCTCCCTGCGCAGTGTCACAAAGGGACCTTTTGTTCCTCTCCCGGCCCCTCTCTCTGGCTCTTCTCTGCCCCCCACCCACCCCAACTCCCTCCTCCCCACGCCTCCTGCCCTACTCTGCTGCACCCCTGGGCTGCAGGAGTGACCGTGGCCTGGCCGTGCTGCCCTCCCTCTTCCAGGGCGCCTAGGGAGGAGAAAGGACCTTGGCGGCCGCGGCGGCCATTTTGAAAACTGCCCTTCTAGGCTGTCCGCGGCTTCTCTGAGGCTGCCAGGGCTGGAGAAGTTGCTCTGGGAGTGCCTAGGGCTCAACTGATGTCCTGTGGCCCACTTTCTGCCTCCAGGTTGAAAAGGGACTCTCCTCTCCCAAGCTTCCAGCCCAGGCTGCGGCTCTGCACTGAGACAAGACACCTTTCAGTCAGCCATCTCCCTTCGTCTACACAGTGGCCTCCTGGGGCGAGGAAGTTGCTGTCCTGGGAGGTGGAGACTAGGGCTCAAGTGGGGGGAGTGTTGGTGTCAAGGCCTCGGTATGTAGGTGCTGCGGTTGGGGCCAAGGCACAGGTGTGTCCCAGCAGACCCCTCTAGAGAGAGCAATGCGCACACAGGGTCTGGCCTCTAGAGAGGGCCAAAACCAAATTCCCCAGAACTTTACGGAATGAAACAGACTGTCTGAGATGGGGAGTGTGACAGTGAATGAAGCATCTGCTCTCTGGGAAGCTTGGGCCACTGTCCCCTCCCACAGCACTTTTTAAATGAGGAAACTGAGTCACAGGGAAGCTACACAGTTGGGTCTTGGATCTCACCTCTACTGACTCCAGTTCACTTGTTTTGTCTTTCAGGACCACTGCCTGCCCACCCCAAAAGAGCCTAGTGCCTGGAAGGAGAGGGACAGGAACACTTAGGTGGATTAGAATCCCAGAGGCCGTGGCTCTGAGGAGGCTGGGCTCAGCGGCCAGACTCACTGACTGCTCCATCTCTCCCACCCGCATGGACAGAGCGTGTTCACAGGCTGGGAGTATGTGTGTCCCTCTGTCTCTGCTCTGCTGGGCTTGCGTCCTAGGAAGGCAGAGGCAGCCGCGAACTTGAGGACTCGGCGGGATAGGTGGTGAGGGGCTCTGGGAGAGTGGGGAGGGAGTTGAACAACTGTGGCCCTCAAAGAGAAGGGCTGTGAGTCAGGATGGCTGGACACACTGAGGGATCCTACTTCTGTCTGGAAGTTGAGGGTGAAAAGCTTCCTGGAGGAGGCACTAGAGATGAGCTCCAAATGAAGGCTGAGGTAAGAAGCATGGAGGAGCTGCTACTGGGGGGAGGCAGGCAAGGAGGTGGTGCATGGTGTGTGGGAGGGAGGAGTCCCATAGCCCATATATGCCCTAGTGGAGCGTGGAAAATGAGGGGTGCCGTGTGAACCCAGAGGACTGACAGTGGCTACTGAGAAGACGCTTGGATCTTGAGGGCAGAGGGAAGCTCTGTGTGTGTGTGTGTGTGTGTGTGTATGTGTGTGTGTGTGTGTGTGTGTATGTGTGTGTGTGCGTGTGTGTGTGTGTGTGCGTGCGTGCGCGTGTGTGTGTGTGTGTGTGTGTGTGTGACACAGTCTGTCTATGTAGCCCTCACTGCCCTGGAACTCTATATAGGCCAGGCTGGCGTCCAGCTCACAAGCACCTGCCTGCCTCTGCCTCAGTCCTGGGATTAAAGGCGTGTGCCACCAGCCCTAACTACTCACTGAGCTTATAGAGTCGGATTTATTCTGTGTTCTAGAAAGTTCTCTGCCCTGTTGGCTAGGTCTGTGCCAGGCTGGGTTACTGTCGGGCCTCCAGCACCTAGCACAGTGCCCAGCTGATGTTAAAGCTTTTGAATCAGTGGGTGGTTTGGGCGGCGTCCATGGAGGCAATGGCTCTCTCTAGCTGTGGCACTGAGGCCTCAGTCTCCTCCTGGGTAAAATGGGGTGATAGGTGCCTGCCTGGTGGGCATGTTGCAGTGGTTGGAGAAACGTGGCAGGATTACCTCCGTGGACTGTGTATGGCCAGCACTCCGGTGTGGGGTCTTCTTTGGGGGAATGTGGAGGCTGGGACCCTGGTTGGGGCAACAGAGATCATGCCGACAGTGATGGTCGCCAAGGCGTAAGGTCTTCACATAGCCCCCAAACAAGCCAGGAAGGAGAAGGTTGCTTTTCCTGTCACATCATCCAGGCAGATGAGGCTCAGGTAGGAAGCTGACTTGCCCAAGGCACCTCCACCTCTGAGTGGTGGGTGGAGGGTCACTGGATGCCAGCTCGTACCACCTCAAGGATAGGGATGGGTGAGACTAGAAGATACTGTGGGGACCAATGGACCAGATGGTGGGGGGCAGGCACAAGACAGGAAGGGATCAAGAACAGCCCACCCCCTATGTTTTTGGTAGGTAAATCACGCCATTTCATAGCAAGACAAAACAGTTTGAGTACTGTAAGCATGTATGTGAGGAGATGCTATGAGGTCTGGGGGGCAGGGGTGGTCTCACAGCTTGGGACTGGGAAAAGAGTGGGGCAAGGTGAAGGCCCCCCCCATCCTAGGGCAAGGCTAGGGAGAAAGTTGCAGATCCCCTGGGCGTGGAGAAAGGAGGGAAGGAGGATGCTGCTGGCTTGTCCTCCTGCCACAGGGGGTCATAGAGGTCAGGTGACCAGCAATGTGACCTGGAAAGACAGGAGAGATGCTTCAGAGAGAAGGACCTGGGCAATGGACCGTTCCCAGAGCAGAGGTGGATGTATTTGAGAAAAAGGACTTGCTAATGGTACCTGGGCCAACACCTTGGACACAAGAGGGGGATGGAGGACCACAGTCTAGGAGCATTGTTCTCTACAGGGTGAGAGAAAGGAGGGGTAGGGAAGGAGAGATACTGATGGTGCACGGAGGAGGGCCTGACCATGAAGTGGCTTGGAGGGGACGATCACCCAGCAGGCAGGAGAGTCAGGGAGGGAGGGTCTGGAGACAGGAGCCATCTGATGGTGGGGGAGGGGAACTGAAGGCTCTGCTCAGTGGCATTTCCACACTGCAGTTGGAGGCGGCTGCATAGAGCTTGGGGTACCCTGCGAGCTGGCATCTCCAGATCTAGAGAGGGAAGAAGGGTACATAGAGTTTGGGGTGCCCTGCGGGCTGGCATCTCCAGGAGTTGCTGAGCTGCCTTTTCCCTTCTCAGTGCTGGCCACATTCCCAGCCTGGGAGCAATGAACCTGTCCTACACCCATGCCGTTCCGGATGTTTTTGCAGAGGTGCCCCACCTTGTCATGGACAGCTGTCATCACCTCACAGTGTGGGCATCAAGGAGAGCAAGGGCTAGGCAGCTTCAGAGGGATCGGGTGGTCTCCTGCCACATCCCTTTGTGTGAACCTTTTCACTCTTCCCCCAAAGGGCTGCAAAGCTGTCGCCTGCCAAAACATGGTGCCGTAGCACATAGTAGAAATGTTTGCCTTGTCTGCTCTTGGCAGAGTTCAAAGCCTACTCATGAAGCCACCTTACCCAACACAATATTCCTGACAGGGAGAGAACAGGGCCCCCTGCTGGTCCACAGGGGAGGGGTCGTTTTCCCCTGCTATCCAAACAGGACACTTCATCGTCAGGGAACCGCTATGAGCCTCCCAGACCACTCGTACCGTTTGCCATAGACATCAATCATCCTTACTGCTCGGTTCCCAGGACTGGAGCAGCAGCACAGGAGAGCAGCCAGGCACACAGGAGCAGGAGGGCCCAGGATCCAGGGGTCGTTGTTGAGTTAACCTTACTTGTCTCAACTTTTGCAGGTTCTCTTCATGAGGGGCTGCAGGGTCGCCATGTGACCAACAGGACACACCTGCCACAACTGCAAGGCAGGTCTGCTTCCCAAAGGACCACGTGCCAGTCCGGTCTCTGTGGTGTCTTGGTTCACAAAGAGGCTGCACTCGACAACACTCTGTTAAAGATGTGTCTGTATAAATCTATGCCTGGAGACGCTGTTGCAGTGTGTGTGATAACAAAAGCCGGCTGTGACCTTAACAGTCAAGAGCCCAGGACGGGAACCCAAGGCAGATCACGTTCACATAACAGCGCGTTGTAGTGGTGGAAAAATGACATTCCTGTAGGATTTTTAATGTTGTAGAGAAGTGTCTATGGTGTGAAACCCAGCACATTTGCAGATATGTGCATTCAGGTAGCTTCAACCAGGAGCAGTGAGGTCAAAGCCAACAGTGAGCCCTGCACGAATCCACTGCATTTAAACACGTGGAGAGAGAAAACAGGACAGGTTGGGGAGATGACTCAATTGGTGATGTGCTTGCCGTGCAAACCTGAGGTCCTGAATTTAATTCCCAAAGCCCACATGAGAAGGCCAGGCGTGATATCACATGCTTGCAATTCTCGACACTGGAAAACAGAACCCAGGCAGAGCCCCACGGGCAGCCGGCCTAGAAAACTTGTCAGGTTCTAGGCCAGTAAGAGTCCCTGTCTTAGATAAGGACTGGCTCCACAATGTTGTCCTCCAGCCTCCGTATGCATGTACGCACGAGTTCCCCAGGGAAGGTGGGAGATTGCACAGACATGCTTATACACATGAAAACATTTTCCAGAATGTAATAGAGGGCTGGAGAGATGGGTCAGTGAGGTACTTGCTGCTTTTGCAGAGGACCGGAGTTTGATTTCCAGTACTTGTTTTGGGAGGCTCACAGTCACCTGTTACTCCACTCTGGCCTCTTTGCACACCCACTGATGGAGGAGGGTTATATAAACACACACATAAACATCTTTTTTTTTTAAAAAAATAAAAATCTGGAACGACAAGAGAAAAAAATTGAACCTTTATTCTTGGGATTATGGAATTTAGTGAGTTTTTTTATCTATTGATTTACTATTCTTTGAGGCAGGGTCTCACTACGTAGCTCTGGCCAGGCTGGAACTGTGTGTAGACCTGACTCTGGCCTTCATCTTTTGGTAATCCTCCTGCTTCTGCCTCTTGAGGGCTAGGATTACAGTTGTATGTCACTATGCTCAATTGAGTTTACTTATTTTCTAACTGCACTTTATTCTATTGTGTGTGTGTGTGTGTGACTCCTAACGCGTGAGCCCCTTGAGAGTGATGAGCATCACATCTCCTTCTCCTTTGCTTCCCTGGCACCAGTGCCAGCCTGGCATATGGAATAGGAAGTCACAGGACCATGGTCATGTTACTGACCATGGAAGTTGTACCTCAGTTTCCCCAAGAGCTAGGCATTACCAGACCAATCTTGAGGACCCTGTTGTCCAGAAGATGGACGTAACTGGTGTGGGGCAGCCTGGTTGTGTGTGTGTGGGGGGGCTGCTGGGGCTAGATAAGTCCCTGGCTGCCTCCCTCACCGGACCCTGATCCCTGCCACATCCCGGCAGTCCACGATGGTGGGGAATTAACTGGCATCTGCAGACAGAGGAGGTGGGGGGCTATATCTGAGGCCTCAGCAAAGCAGACCCCACCAGAGAAGATGGCCTGGTGTCCTCACTGTGTATAATGACCTGATGGCAATTAAAGGCCAGCAGGGACTCCTCCCTCCAAGAAGGATGGATGGGAAAGGGGAGGGGCTCCCCTGGGGCTAGGAATGCTTAGATGCTGCCACTGACAAGTTGAGCTATCCACAGCCCTGAGCACAATATGGTCATTAACCCCTGACCCTGGCCCCTACTTAGCCACTTCCTCTGCAGGAGGAGGGAGGGAGGGATTTCATCATGATGCTCTTTTCAGTGGGGTTTGGGGGTCACAGTTCCCTCGCTCGCTCTCTGTAGGCGCCTCTGGAGCTCGGGTCTCAGGCTCTCTAGCTCCACAGCTACTTCAGATTCGAGCAGGAGAGAGCATCTCACTCTTTGGCACCCTCAGGAGCATCCATGGGCCAAGTGCTTCAAGCCAGAGCAGTGCGAGGGAAAATGGACAGAGACAGACGGGGAGGCCTAGATAAAGGCTGCCCTTGTCCCCTCCACAGAGTGTTCAAAGGCACACAGAGAACAAGCCTGCTAGGAAATGGGTCCTACTCAAACATTAGTACATTAGCACTCCTAAATAAGTCCCAGCAGCACAGACCCAGCCAGGCAGAATAGCATGTACACATCCTAGAAATGCGAGCCTGGTGGAATACTTGGAATCTGTCTACACAATTTGTCAGTGAATGAACAAATTTAGGAGATAGTCCCAAGGCTATCTCAGCCCTGGAGACACATTTCAGCAACTCCCTGGGGTGAGCGGTCTTAGACCCACAGGGTTGGGGGTGGGGAAGGAGCCTCGGAGCTAAGTAAGATCGTTGCTGAAGCCTAGCACAGTTTCCAAAGGGGCAGGAGACCCATCCCTTAAAATCATACTCGCTGCATTCACCACTCATCCAAGTGTCCGTTCGTGTTGCATCTGAGCTCCCAGCCAAGGCAGTTGGCTATACAGTAAACTTCCAGACAAAGCAGTGTAGGGATTGAAAAGGAGGATGCAAAGTGACATTAAAGAGCCACAGTTGCCTACACAAAACCCCAAAGTAATTCACAGACAAATAACTAGAAAATGAGATTTACACAGGAAACACATCTATCAAAGCAGTATAAAAGACTAACTGTGACGGGAAAGATGGCTCAGCATGTAAAGGCTTCTACTTCAGACCCCAGAATATGAATGGTAGAAGAAAAGACTCTCATGGCTTACCCTTTGACCTCCATACCTGGGCCTGTGCATGCTTAAGTGCTCGTGCACACACACACACACACACACACACACACACACACACACACACACAGACTCGCACATGGCAGTTTAAAAAAAAAAATTTGTGTATGAGTGTTTGCCCTTGAATGTGTATCAAGCCTGTGCCTGGTGCCCTCAGAGGCCAGAAGAGGGTGTTGGATCCCTTGGGACTGGAGTTACAATGGATGTGAGTCACTGTGAGGGTCCTGGAAATTGAACTCTAGTGACCACTGACTGAGCCCTCCTGCCAGCCTGCTAATGTTTTGTTTTGTTAATTGCAAAGCCAGGCTTAGTGGCACACACCTGCAACCCCAGCACTCAAGAGATGGGAGCATTGACAGGAGAGATGACTCAGGGGGTAAGAGCTCTGTCTGCTCCTCCAGAGGACCTGGGTTTGATTTCCGGCACCCACATGAGCTCACAACTGTAACTTAAGTCTTAGGGATCTGATGCCTTCTTCTGGTCTCCATGGACATTGCACAGACATATAACATGCAAGCAAGACATCCAGACACATAAGATTTAAAATGAGGAGAAAAAGAAAAAAAAAAAAAAGAGGCAGAAGCATGAGGATTGTTGAAAGTCTAGGGTAGACTGGTCTACATAGCTCTTGGGCTGTATAGTGAGAGAGTGTATTTTCTAAAATAAAAGCACAAATCAAAACAACAACAAAACCATGAACTGCAGCTCCAGCAAGAGTAAAGGAAGCCAGCTACGACAGGGCACACATTAAATTATTCCTGTTTTTTGAAATTCCACAGCAACAACTCTGAGGTCACGAGCGGAGAAGGACTGGGGAGAGCTGGGGGAAGAGAGCCAGGAAGTGAATGTAGGCAGGGAAATATTTGACGGGGGTGGGGGGTGGGGGAGGCATGGTAAAAATATTTTGGAATTAAACACTGGCAAAGCTTGTGTGACCTTGCAAAGGCCCAAACAACACTGGATGGACGCAGTAGACAGTTAAAGTGGCGGCGGCTGTGTGGTGTGTGTATCATATTCAAATTTTAAAATGATTGCACACAACATCAAAGCCAACAGAATAAAATTCTCCACCTTCATTTCTTACCTCCTTCATTCTTTGGGGGTTTTTGTTTGTCTGTTTGTTTGGTTTTTTTGTTTTTGTTTTTTTTTTCTTTTTAGATAGGGTCTTACCATGTAGTTCTGGCTATGCTAGAACTCACAGAGATCCACCTGCCTCTGCTTCCTGAGTGCTGGGATTAAAGGCGTGCACCACCGCTCTGCTGGCTTGTATTTTTTTGAAATAGGGTTTTGGGTTTTTTGGGGGGGTTTTTTCAAGACAGGGTTTCTCTGTGTAGCTTTGGTGCCTATCCTGGAACTCACTTTGTAGACCAAGCTGGCCTCAAACTCATAAAGATTCACCTGCCTCTGCCTCCCTAGTGCTGGGATTAAAGGCATGTGCCACCACCACCTGGCTAAATAGGGTTTTTACTATGTAGTCCAGAGTGACTTCACATTCATAATCCTCCTGTCTCAGCTTCCTGAAAATGGGGATTGCAGATGTCTGTCAGCCTGGCTGAATCTAAAAAATATGGTTTATAAATCTTCCACTTATAATAACATAATATAATAAAAGATTTACAGTGTTACTGAAAAAAATTGTTTAGCGGTTTCTTTTAAAAATTAAAACTTTGGGGTGGGTGAGAGGACTCGGTGGAGAGCAGCACTTTCCACAAAAGCTTGAGAACCTGAATGTGATCCCTGGGTCCCATGGTGGAAAGAGATCCTATTCCTTAACACTATTCCCTGACCTCCATGAGTGAGCCTGCACACACACACACCACACACATTAAATAAAATTCTGGAAGTAAGTAAGATAATAAACCATACTCACTGCAGGGCCCAGGGAGAGCATCCCAGGTATTTGTTGAGAGAAATGCATGCACAGAAACACGGAGCAGTTTGCACGTCAGGAAACTAGCTGGAGAGGTTTAAACGTGAATGCTGGAGTCTGGCACAGTGTTCCCGCGCCTTTGATCTCAGCACTAGGGGAAGCAGAGGCAGATGAGTCTCTGCGAGCTCCAGGCTGACCAGGGCTATATGGTGAGACCTTGTTTGGGCTGAGGAGATGGCTGATCAGTAAATTGTTTGCTGTGCTCAAGTTCCCAGAAACCAAGTTTAAAAAATGGCAATAAAGCCGGGTGGTAGTGGCACACACCTTTAATGCCAGCACTCAGGAGACAGAGGCAGGTGCATCTCCATCCCCAGCACCACACAGACCAGATATGATGCTGCCTGCTTGTCATCAAAGGGCTTGGGGGGTAGTGATAGGAGGCTATCGAGTCTATGGAGTCTCACTATGGAGAGTTCTGACCAGTCTGGCCTATTTGAGACCTTGTCATCAAAACAAAACAAAACAAAACCAGTACTGGGGAGATGGCTAGGCAATTGAAGGCACATACTGCTCTCGCAGAGGACTTGAGTTTGGTTCTCAGCACCTATGTTGAGTAAGAGTCTGGAACTTCAGGTCCATAGGACCTGATGCTCTGGCCTCCAAGGGCATCTGCATTTGTGCCCACATACCCCTCCCCCATATACATAGTTAAAAAATTGGTGCCCCTATAGGGGAGAAGCACAGAGCTGACAGGGGTGACTGGAAATAGGGTGTAAGAGGAGTCATTGATGAAATCTGGCTTCCTGGCTAGTTTTCAAAATTGTGCATGTTTGAGACTTTCCTTAAAGAATGAAAGAGAGCTAGGCAGTGATGGCACACTCAGGTGACAGAGGCAGAGGGATCTCTGTGAGTTCAAGGCCAGCCTGATACACACAGTGAGCTCCAGGACAGCCGGGACTACACAGAGAAACCCTGTCAAAAAATAAAAAATAAAAAAATAAAAAGACAAAGCAAACAAACAAACAAACGAAGAGATAGACAGACAAAAAGAGAGGGGGGGGGAAAGAGGAAAGGGAAGACCCAAATCAATGCCCAGTAACTCACAAGGCGAGTCAAGATGCCCACTTCTTCCTGACTGCATCTACATTCAGTTCAATACAATCACGGGGACCAGCAAGAGCCCCAGACACCAAGCTTAGGAGTGGAGCTTTGCCCACCGAGCACCCAGCCTTAGCCAAGGGTGCCACTTCAGGGCTCCCTGAAGCACAGCTGGACCCTGAGACCGAGAGGAGAGCACAAGGCTGCACCTGGGGGACACCGCAGGACA